ATCTGTGGCATGACAATGACTTCCGACATGAACAGTTGAATGGACTTGGTTCTCAGTTGTCAAGGTCTTGTACAAATATGAGATTTCTACCTTTTTTTCCCCCTTTCCTGGTCAAATTAAGAACTATTCAGTCGACAATCACAGTTTCCCAGCATTGTTAAGAGAACAAAGGCAGATGCCTTTAATCTAAACAGCTGTTCGGTTTCTTTAAAACTGGAGGCATCGCCTTGCTCAGATCCCGGAAGTAGGGATCTGTGTGTTGTCCAAAGCAAACCAGAGTCTTCCCAAAATTCACTGGTAAACAGGATATTGAGTTACCTGGCAGTGAAACTCCTGAACACAAACTGCTTCCTTTTCTGTAAGGCAAAGGGCTTGTCTTGCTACCTGAAAAGGAAGCTAATTTCATCGTCCAGTGTAACTAGGACTTGGTCTTCCTGCAGATTAATCTATGAATCCATGATATGGTGAAGACCCATTCTAGCCCCCAAAGGTCTGAAATTTGATTCACTTTTCATGCAAGTGAAGTGATGGGAATTTGGTGTACAAATTGAGGGTTTGAAACTTTTTCTAGACAACGTTGTGCTCTGTTGCCCAGGCTGGAGGGCAGTGGTGCAAACAGCTCACTGCAGCCTTGACCTCCTGGGCTCAAGTGATCCTCTTGCCTCAGCCGCCCAAGTAGCCGGGACCACAGGTACATGCCAGCACACCCAGCTAATTTTTTTTAATTTCTTTTTTTGTAGAGACAGGAGTCTCATTTTGTTGCCCAGGCTGGTCTCAAACTCCTGGGCTCAAGTAATCGTCCTGCCTCGGCCTCCCAAAGTGTTGGGATTACAGACATGAGCCACCATGCCTGGCTGAATGTTAGAATCTCCTTTTTTTTTTTTTTTTTTTTGTTTGAGATGGAGTCTTGCTCTGTCACCCGGGCTGGAGTGCAGTGGAGCGATCTCCGCTCACTGCAAGCTCCGCCTCCCGGGTTCATGCCATTCTCCTGCCTCACCCTCCGGAGTAGCTGGGACTACAGGCGCCCGCCACCACGCCCGGCTAATTTTTTATATTTTTGGTAGAGACGGGGTTTCATCGTGTTAGCCAGGATGGTCTCAATCTCCTGATCTCGTGATCCCCCGCCTCGGCCTCCCAAAGTGCTGGGATTTTTTTTTTTTTTTTGGAGATGGAGCCTCACACTGTTGCCCAGCCTGGAGGCTGGAGCGCAATGGCGCAATCTCAGCTCACTGCAACCTCTGCCTCCCGGGTTCAAGTGATTCTCCTGCCTCTGCTTCCCTAGTAGCTGGGATTACAGGCGCCCACCACCATGCCCGGCTAATTTTTTGTATTTTTAGTAGAGGTGGGGTTTCACTATGTTGTCCAGGCTGGTCTCGAACTCCTGACCTCGTGATCCACCCACCTCGGCCTCCCAAAGTGCTGGGATTACAGGCGTGAGCCACTGCGCCCAGACCTAGAAACTCTTAAACCCAAGTGCACGCAAACTGCAATCTAGGTCACCTCATTTGTGACTGGACATACAGAGAGAGAAGAGAAAATATTTTGCGAGAGTTTTGTTTTCCATAGAACCAAAAGGGTATCACAGGGAAGAAGTCAGCAGTGCAGCCAAATTAGATTATAATAATCTTTAAGGTCATGAGGCAACATCTTGCTCATCTTTGTGAACCCTCAAATTACAGCATAGCAAAGGCACACAGGTATTTGTTGAACAAATCATAATATAAAGAGTTGCTATTTGCCTTTTGGATTTTATAAAAGAAGGATTGAGGGAGAGAATCAACAAGAACTACACCGGAATGAAGGCTATTGAATAAGTTATTCCCAACCTGTGAAGTCTGCATAACAATGAGTTTCTGGTCAAATTCAGTTGTCTCATGGGAATGACTTCCGATTTCCCATTATTATTCTCAGTAGTAGTGGTAGTATTCTTTACAGTAGAAGCAGCAGCTACCATTATTAGCACCTAACGTGCACCAGTTAGGCCATTTATGTACGTTTTTGCTAAACTTCACAGTAACAAGATGGACCATTTTACAGCTGCAGAAACTGAGGTTAAAGTTGCTAAAGGTCAGAGGATCCTGCCTACACTAATAGGGGCGGTTTCTTCACTGCCAGGCCTAGTAAAACAATCTCCCGTTGTTCAGCTTTATTACTTTAGTTTGCTGAGAACTTGATTAGAGGACACATGGTAATGGTTTTGGCAATCATTTAAGAGATCTGATGCTTTGAAGAAAGCAGTTTTTTTGAACAAGAAAACAAATAACCTTTTATCTTAAGCCATGTTGGGCGTTCTGCACAACAAAAAAACGTGTTCTAGTTTTCAAGTTCCCCCGTAGTCTGGGCTGAATGCATCTTCTCAAGCCCCACACATCATACTAATATTTGTCCTCCACGACAAGGCAATTAATACTTGTCCTGCACAACAGTATGAGGCAACATGTAGACTGGCTAAGAGACGATCCTCATTCTTAAGGAGCGTGCAGGCTAGTTGGAGAGAAAAGATATACTCATTAAGCAATTTTAGAATATTTAAACGCTAAAGGCCGTTTTTCTAAAAAAACCCTGAAAGTAAGGGTTTTTGCCAAAGCAGAGTCAGAGTCGACTTGGTGGAATAAACTGGAAACAGACCTTGGAGGACCTTCTGGCTGGTGCAGGCTGGGCAAGAAAGGTCCCGTGGGCAGAAGCATGCCTCCCTGTGAAGGCGAATACAGTGGTGGGGCTTGGTGGCCTCTGGGCAGTGTGAAGTTCTGCTGCCTGGGGAGTGTGGGAAATTTGAATATTCTGTTGGGATTCCTGCTGGAAATCAAAGTGAAATTCTTATCCTCAGGACCTTGGGGCCAGGTCCTGACCTTCTAGACTTGGCCTGAGCCTCAGGCCTGCCCCTTCCCTGGCCCTTCTTCTGTTTCTTCCTCTTCTCTCCATGAGGTGGAAAGCAGGAGGCAGGACTTCTGAGAACTGAGGGGGGCTGAGGTCTCAGGTGATGAGGGAGAAGCCTCTGTGTTCAAGGAATGCAACTTTTGGTTGTGGGAAAATGCTTCCCTCCTTCCCTTAGTGACAGATCCCTTAGTGTGTTTTGCACTAAGAGAGAGCTCGCTCGCTCTCACTCTCTCACCTTCCTCCTCTCACCCCCTTTTTGATCAGCAAAATCATATAACCATCCTACACCATCGCAAGACTACCTTCTCATTTCCCAGAGAACTTTCAGTCTCTCCTTTCACACCTACAACTTCTCTGGGCTCCCCCAACTTGCCCCAAGTTGCTCTGACACCACCAGCAACTTCCCTCTTCCAGTAAGTTCCCTGCGGGGCATGATCCTCTCTCTCTTGGCGTACAGCACCACTGCCATGCCCTCCTGAGGCCCGTCAGAAGTAAGTAGACCTAGTCATTGTATTAAATTAGGTTTCATGGGCTGCCAGAAAGAACTTTAATTCCCTTCCTGAATCTGCAGGAAAACTATTCACACGACTACAACTTACACTCTGGAACATGAATCCGGTTGACTCATGTGCCAAAAAAGGCTGTGCTCTCACACACGAGTCGGGGGCCTTCCCTGGCTTTATCCCTATGTTACCAGCTGGCTACATCTATTTGTGATATTTCTAAACTGTCTAAAGAAGATGATCCAGGTAAATAAATGATCTTGGGGAATTTCGTCCAGATATTCACAATGTAACTGCCTTGTAAACCCAAGAACTTATAGAGATGCATGGAATATACTAGAACTTTTCCTCCACATTCACGTGCACTGACACTAAGTACATGTGAAGAGGAAACTCAAAACTGTATCAATTAGCAACCCAATTCAAAATGTGGATTAAAAAGAAAATGTTCATTGGAAACTAGGTCCACAATAGCACCCCAGCTACTGTCTTCCTATGAATATCGTCCCAACACAGTGGAGGGTAGGGGACAGGAAACAGAAAGGCATACAGTTCCCAGATGCTTGCAACATTTCTCTATAGGCATGTTTGCTAATAAACCTAAAGATATAAATATGCAGGTATTACACAAAATATGTTGTGATTCGAACCTGGCTGAGCACTTGGGAGGCAGAGCCATTGTGTGTCCCAACAGTGTTACCAGCGGGCACATCCCAAGACCTGTGGATTGGAACCTAGAAACTTCTTAGCAAGGCCGGGCACAGTGGCTCATGCCTGTAATCCCAGTACTTTGGGAGGCTGATGTGGGCGGATCACTTGAGGTCAGGACTTTGAGACCAGCATGGCCCACATGGTGAAACCCTGTCCCTACTAAAAATATGAAAATTAGCTGGGCGTAGTGGCGGGCACCTGTAATCCCAGCTACTCAGGAGGCTGAGGCAGGAGAATCACTTGAACCTGGGAGGCAGAGATTGCAGTGAGCCAAGATCATGCCACTGCACTCCACTCCAGGCTACAAGAGCAAGACTCCATCTTTAAAAAAAAAAAAAAAGGATGAAACTTCTTAGCAAAAGGAAAGATCCCTCCCTTCAGCCTCTGCATCATAGGTGTCATGGGTGCTTATAAAGGAGGCTTTTTTTTTTTTTGAGATGCAGTCTCGCTCTGTTGCCCAGGCTGGAGTGCAGTGGTACCATCTCAGTTCACTGCAACCTCTACCTCCCGGGTTCAAGCAATTCTCCTGCCTCAGCCTCTGGAACTACAGGCATGCGCCACCAAGCCCAGCTAATTGTTGTATTTTTGTAGAGATGGGGTTTCACCACGTTGGCTAGGCTGATCTCAAACTCCTGACCTCAGGTGATCCTATGAAGGAGGCATTATTATTTCCCTATAGCAAGTAGGGAAACTGAGGCTTGAAGAGGTGAAGTGATTTTCCTAAGCTCACATGGTTACATGAAACCAGATTTGAAATCCAGTTCTTCTGTGACCTCCTGGGTCCTTTCTCTTGACTGCCCTTCCACCTAACCCTACCCCCGACCACTGCTGGGCCCTTTGAACATTCTTTATGTGGAAGACATTTTCCTGTAAACAAAATAATTATTGAAAAGATGTTGTATCTTTCAGCAGATGAAGCACCAATGGTTTTATTAAGGAAGAGGAAGCCAAACCTGAGGAGATTTACAGTCAGCCCAGAAGTGCACAGCCCGAGAGCGTCTGAGGACAGAAGCAGACAGAAACCGCAGTGGCCCGCAAAGGTGCCAGCTCCCAGGAGAGCAGGTGAGGCCCCAGGGCTCCCGCACCTTTGTCCTTGGAGAGGAGGACTGACTGTTGCTGTTACCCAGTGAATTCTTTATGGTTTTTAGAGACTTGTACTTGTAAGTAAATGAGGGGCATGTACCTTAAAATGAAACAGCCTTAAAAGCAAATTGTATGATCCTAGGGTTTTGGGGGTTTTTTTCCTCCAGGAGAGGCTGCTGGGAAAAGGGGAAGGTGGGGTGGGGAGGGTATCTTTTTCTCTCCCATAACTCCATGAGTGTGAGCGGTTTTGAGTGGACATCAGCTGTACAGCTGCTCCACAGGGCATTTGGGTAGTGGATGGCATTTGGGTGGTGGAGGGCGTCTGGGTGGTGGACGGGCGTCTGGGTGGTGGACGGCGTCTGGGTGGTGGAGGGCGTCTGGGTGGTGGACGGCGTCTGGGTGGTGGACGGCGTCTGGGTGGTGGAGGGCGCCTGGGTGGTGGAGGGCGTCTGGGTGGTAGACGGCGTTTGGGTGGTGGAGGGTGTTTGGGTGGTGGAGGGCAGGGGTTGAGGAAGGCAGAGAAGCAGATCTGCAGCTCTAGGGCATGTCCCACCTCGCCATTGTTCCCACTTACTTCCTGGGATGGGGAGGATGTGTGTCTGTGAGTGACAGGCTGCTCACCTCCCACAGAGATCTTCTCCCCTCTGACCCAGAACACTGAACTTAGCAAGATCACAATGTGTGAGAAAAACACAACATTGGAACGAATCTATGCTTTATTCCCAAACACTGGTTTGGTGTATCACCCCCTTGGGACTCATGGAAAGCAACACCTCACAGTCAACCTGGCCATGGACCCATTCTTTCTCTTAGAAAACCACTGAGCATCACATTATGTCATGACCAATGAACACAGTTCCCTTTGTTTTATTTTTTTATTGTATTTTTTTAATCGTATTTGTTTATTTTGAGGCAGAGTCTCCCTCTGTTACCCAGGCTGGAGTGCAGTGGCACCATCTCGACTCACTGCAACCTCCACCTCCCGGGTTCAAGCGATTCTTCTGCCTCAGCCTCCTGAGTAGCTGGAATTACAGACATGCGCCACCACGCCCGGCCTTTTTTTTTTTTTTTTTTTTGTGTGTGTGTGTATTTTTGTATTTTTAGTGGAGACGGGGTTTCTCTATGTTGGTCAGGCTGGTCTCGAACTCCCGACCTCAGGTGATCCGCCCGCCTCAGCCTCCCAAAGTGCGGGGATTACAGGCATGAGCTACCGCACCCAGCAAGAACTATCCCTTGATAAGAGAACCTTGGGTTATAAATTCAAATGCCTTCAGGGAGCAGGTGGATATAGCAGGACAGATGCGTAACGGGTTATGGAGCCTGTGGTAAGCTACAATATACATGTTCCACCTAAAGGTAATAAACTCATTGTTCAAATACTGAGCCATGGCCAGGCATGATGGGTCATGCCTGTAATCCCAGCACTTTGGGAGGCCAAGGTGGGAGGATTGCTTGAAGCCAGAGGTTCGAGACCAGCCTGGGCAACAAAGCAAGACTCTGTCTCTAGAAAAAAAGTTTAAAATTAGCTAGGTGTGGTGGCATGTACCTGTAGTCCCAGCTACTCAGGAGGGTGAGGCAGGAGGATCGTTTGAACCTACAACTATACTCCAGCCTGGGTGACAGAGCAAGACCCTCTTTCTAAAATAAATAAAAAAGAAAGAAAGAAGAAAAGAGGCTGAGCCAAAGCACAATTGCAGGATGAAAACAGCCCTGGGGTCTTGAGTATGCAACCTACCCCTGAATTCCAGAACAATAGCAACGATCATCCGAGTTTGGGATTATGGGGGATTTTTATTTTCTTCTTTATCCTCTTCAATAGTTTCCAAATTTTCTCCAATGATCATAAACCACTTTTATAACCAGAGCGAACCAAGTTAAAAGTGTACGGCTCTTGGAATGTAGGAAACTATTGGTCAAGCACACCAAGAAGTCAAGACCAAAAGCATAGTCTCAGGGCAGACAGATGCTTGTTCTGGTTTCATTCTGTTGCCCTAGAACTCCTGGAGATGGCAGGCACTTCACTCACAGCTGGAGCCCAGGGCCTCAGAGAAGCATTTGCAGCATCTGCAGGGCCTGGTCTATGAATAGCACGTCCCTGGCATACCAATGTGCCTGTCTATTCCCAGCCCTAGAGCTCCTGAAATCTGCTCTCTATTTGATAGACATAAAAAAAAAAAAAATAGGGTTAAAATAGCATAAATTGAGAATGGCACAGTCTGCCACCTTTAGGGGAAACACACACACACACACACACACACACACACACACACACACTGCAGAGAAGCTCTGACTGAATTTTTAAAGAGGAAGACCATTGTGGTGACAAGGCAAGGGTGAAGATGCTCCCCCTGCCTGTTTCAGGAATCTGCAGGAGCCGCAGCACCACACATACCCTGGGACTTCTGCCCCTCAGGCCAGCATCACCCCGTGACAACTCGGTGGCCTCTATGAGATGAGCTTAATGGCTCCCGTTGAGCTTCCAGTTTCTGTTTTTCAAAAGCGGCCCTTGCTCATTCCTTTGCCCATTGGGTGTTTTCCCTCACGGGGGTGGGTCATGTGTGTTCAGGGAATGACCGGAAGTTTCCGGTTCCAGCACTGTGAGCGCACCTCTGAAGCCCTCCACCAAATTCAAAACAAAAAGTCACCAGCCAGAGCCCGCACTGCCAACTCCTCTGGATCCCTTTTCTATTTTATTGATTTATGTATTTATGTATTTATTTATTTTTTAGACGGAGTCTCACTCTGTTGCCCAGGCTGGAGTGCAGTGGTACGATCTGGGCTCACTGCAACCTCTGCCTCCCGGGTTCAAGCGATTCTCCTGTCTCAGCCTCCCAAATAGCTGGGATTACAGGTGCACACCACTGCGCCCGGCTAATTTTTGTAGTTTTAGTAGAGATGGGGTTTCGCCATGTTGTCCAAGCTGGTCTTGAACTCCTGACCTTAAGAGATCTGCCTACCTCGGCCTTTCAAAGTGCTGGGATTACAGGTGTGAGCCACCACCCCCAGCCTCCTTTTCTATTTTAAAAAATGATCAGGAGAATTCAGTTGCTTGCATAGAAGCATTTGTTCCCCAAAATGGGGTTCGGCCCAGTCTGGGATGGCCTCGCCACCAGCTCCAGTGCTGTAGTTCCACAGCCAGATGCTCAAAGCATCCTTGAATTGCTGCTGCATCTCTAACTGGGGTTTATAAAACCCAGGAGGGGCCTGAGAGGAGAGCTTAGCTGATTTCTAGAAGAGCTGATGAGTCAAGATTCATACTGCGTTGCTGAGTGTCCCAAGCAGTTAACAATAAAAGAAGCTGCCCAAGTGCTGGGACATTAGAGACTCACACGGGTGCCACCCTGTGAGCAGCCTCAATTAAAGTGAGCCAGCACTGACTTGGCCCTTGGCGGTGCCCGATGCTCTGAGGATTTGCATTTCACCAGCCCGAGCTGTTATCAACACAGACCTTCCAGGGCCCATGGAGTCCCGTCCACTCTATAGGGTGAATCGCTTTAGAAATGGAATGATAAAAAGAGCAGCATCTCATCAGATCCCACACAATAGCAGAGAGGAGAACAAAGCTGGGGGGAGGCCGATGTCAGGAGGGAATAAAGGTAAGTGACATCAGAGAAGTACTGTCAGCTTCCTTCTCACATTGAGAGGGTAAAAGACCCTCAACAGCACACACACACTATGACGAATTCAATGGATTTTCGTTTTCACAAGGAAATTGGAAGGCCTGGCAGTTTTTTAAGGGCTAACAGGGTAGTAGTTAAGAACACAAACCCTAGTATCGAGCAGGCGTGGGTTCAAATGTTCATTCCATCACTTACTAGAAATAGGATCTTGGGCTAGTTATGTGACTGCTCTAAGCCTTGGTACCCTCAGTTTTAATGTTGTATGATTGTGTTACCTATTTCACAGGGTTGTGAGGCTTAAGTGTGTGTGTGTGTGTGAGAGAGAGAGAGAGAGACAGTTAGCATGGTTCTGACCAGTTTAGTGATTCCGTGTAGGAATTTATAGTAGGGATTCTAGGGTAGCTAGAAGTTACATAATTGACCTGGGGCTAGTGACAAAGAGAAGATATGATTTCATGAGAGATTTATAATTTTTATTTTCACTAAATAGTAAACATGACCAAAATCCCCAGTGTGCCCGAGTGCCAGCTCCTATAGCCTTCCTCCTGATCTGCCAAGACATATTGTACTTCTCTTAAGTTCTTGTAAAGCTGCGTGGGAAGCAGGGTGTCATAAACGTACGTTGAATGAATTTGGATGAGAAAGGACTGGTGGTGGTTGTAGAAGTCATTGCCAGAGTGCTGGTTTCCCCTTTCAGCACGTATGGAACAAAAGCCAGTATTTAGCGTGAGGTTTGCCCATCGTCAGTCCTGACTGGCTGGGGTTGGGCCAGTCTTCTGGGACCTTCTGCTGAAAGAATCTGTATCCTCAGGGTCACCCCATTTCCCTAGGACCACAGGTGTACAAAAGAGAATGTGGGGCAGTAAAATGGAGCGTGCTGGGCTCTGCTCCTCTTGTACCTCCAGCCATTTTGACCATGCCTATTTTCTTCTCTAGGTCTTGTTTGTTGCATTTAAAGGGCAATTTTGTGCTTAGTACTAGAGGCCTTTCATCCATGGGCCCTTTTACTGGAATAATAAATGTGTCTTTTCTCAATGCAGATCAAGTAGTTCAACAAGGAGACCTGATGTGTAACACTAAGCTGAAGAAGCCAACTCGAGAGAGAAGAAACTTGGTCCCATCGTCACAGCCAGTGATTGAGAACCCCCCTGATAGACGCAAAAAAAGAGACCCGAGTGCTCCTTCCCAGAGTGAGCTGCATCCAGCCCTGCCCCAGGCCTTCCAAGGAACAAATAGTCCTCAAGTACTGAGTGAGTTCTTGGGGCCACCACTCACACCCACCACCGTAGGAGGGCCAAGAAGGGCATCATTTAGGTTCCGAGATGAAGACTTTTATTCCATTTTGTCATTGAACAGCGGAAGAGAAAGCGATGACACTGAAGAGGAAATCCAGGCTGAAGAATGTCTGTGGGTGGGTATGCATTCACCCCGTTCTCCTTCCCATCACAAAAGAAGTAGATTTGGAAGGACATCGACTCCTCAGGCCAAAAATAAAAATTTTGAAGAAAATGCTGAAAATTGCAGAGGTCATTCTTCAAGAAGAAGTGAGCCCAGACATGGCTCATTGAGAATAAGCAATGCAATGGAGCCAGCAACAGAATGGCCTTCTGCTGGGCAAAAGTTGTCCCAAGACTCCAGGCTGCCTGATAGGGAATCTGCTAAAGAGAAAGACAGAGGTGGCAGTGAACATGCGAAAAAGAGCCCCCTTTCATGGGATACCAAATACAAGCCCAGACAAGAGGACGGTGTCAATGCTGAAAATGCATGGAGTGACTGTATTTCTGTGGAGCATAGGCCTGGCACCCATGATTCTGAAGGATACTGGCAAGACTATTTAAGCAGTTCTCAAAATTCTCTTGACTACTTTCTTTCTGGCAGACCAACATCTCCAGGATCATCAGTGAATTCATCCTATAACTCTGCTGTATCATTCATGCATTCTGCTCTGAGAGATGATATTCCGGTAGACTTGTCAATGTCATCGACTTCAATTCACAGCTCAGACTCAGAGGGAAACTCAAGGTTTCATGTTCGCCGACCACTGTCTCCCATTAGAAATAGGAATCCATCTGCCAGTGCCGAAAACCACAATTATTTCCCAGTAAACAGTGCACACGAATTTGCTGTCAGGGAAGCAGAAGATACTACTTTAACAAGTCAACCTCAGGGGGCTCCATTATATACAGATCTCTTACTAAATCCACAGGGCAGTTTGTCCTTAGTGGATTCTTCCAACTCCTCTCCATCAAGAATAAACTCAGAAGGCTATTTTCGTGTGTCTGAGTCCCTGCAAGAAAATATACCATTTACTTTCTTTGCAGTGTCTGATTTCCCAAATCAAAATGAGAATGGGAACAGGATGGCAGCCTTTGGTTTCACAGATGAAAAGGAAACCAGTAAGATAAAGGCAGACCCTGAGAAACTCAAGAAATTGCAAGAAAGGTGAGGACTTTTCATAATTATATGTTTTTTCCACTTTCCCAAGGCCGAAATTAGCATTGCTTTCATTAGAGAGCCATGGGAATTTTAAGTCATAAATGGGTCCTTTGTTGACATTTTAGTGGTTGCTTATTTTGAGAAAATTGTCTCTGTTTTGTTGCTCTTAAAAACATATGTATTTATAAAGAAAATCTGGTGTTCCTGATCAGTTTCTTCTATATTCTCGAAGTGTTTTTTTCCTTGAATACCACACCTTCAAGGTAAGTTTCCTGGGTATAAGGACCTCCGACTGCTTCACAGGGCTTGTTCTTCTCTCCAGCAATGAAGAACCAAGATTTTTTAGGAAAAGGTTGCTATCTCCCTAGAGAATGAACCATTCAGCACTTGAAGTTCGCAGCTCTCCCTTACCGGACTTACCCCAAATCCAACCAACAGTTCTAGAATTCGAACCTTGCGAACTAAAAGACCGTTCTCAGTTACCATAGTTACCTCGGTTCTCTGAAGGGCCACGCTGGGGTAACTGCTGCTTGTATTTTATGTGCTCTTTCTCATGCATGAGAGAGAAATAAGATCTTTTTTGAATTGCCCTTTTCTTTGATCTTTCCTTTTTTGTGAGATGACGTGGGGATATTTCACAGCTATGAAATGTGATACTTTGTAAAGCCATCATTAAACACCATGTCAGGATTCTACCATTTCATTTATGATAGGTGTTTACCATGCTCTGATCTTGGCTTACTGATCTGGAAATTGATTCTTGGAATCTGAGCCCTCTTTGTGTATATTAGCATGACTCATGTGGGCCGTGAATTAGAAATGTAAAAACCGGAGGAAAATGGAACATAGAATGCATACATATTCCTATTAATAAATATCATTTATCCAACTCCAGTAATGAAGTAACTTTCTAGTTAGCAGTACCTTTTCTTTTCCACATTAAGCTACCAGAAGACTGACCCACGGTTAAGGGGCCAGAGATCTTACACCCACCAATCATCACCTCCCCAGAAATACAGCTTCAGACCTACTTGTCAGAAGTCTAAATTTCTACCATCCCAAAGTGATGCCCTTGAGCTAAAAATAATTTCTTTGAAAATGCATTCACTTCCAGGCACAGTCTTGCATTAAACAGCTACTATTCATGTACCTATTAATAGTTTATCCAGACACTCTCTTTTTTCTGTATATAATAAACTTTATGCTTTTCCTATTATTTCAAATTTGTTCCTTTTGGGAAATATTAAAAATGCAGACTGAAAAGAAAAATCACCTGTAACCCTATCATCCAAAGACAAACAATTAAAAATATTGTTTCTAGTCTTTTATCTGCATATAAATGCAATTTTTAGTATCTGTTCATATTGTTTTATAACATGCCTTATTTTAATATTTAATCCTATTTCTCAATCACACTTTTTAAAAATTTTCCCTCAGTTAGCTATCTTAATACATATAAATTAATACCTAACATAGGTACACTTCAGAGAATTTTTAAAACACACACATCACACACAAACCCAGACATGCCTGTGCCCACCGTCCAGCTAACAAACAGAACATTCCTCACACACTGGAGCCCTCCTGAGCCCCTCACCCACCCTGTCTTCTCATCATGCCACCTTCAGCTCCCCACACCCACCCTGACCATTCCTTTTGCGTTTCGTTGTGTTGTGTTTTGGGGTTTTTTGCTTTGAGCTTTTACCATATGTTTAGATGTTTTTTGTTTTTTTTCTTGAGACAGAGTCTGACTCTGTCTCCCAGGCTGGAGTGCAGTGGCGTGATCTAGACTCACTGCAACCTCCACCTCTCTGGTTCAAGCATTTCTCATGCCTCAGCCTCCCATGTAGCTGGGATTACAGGTGCGCACCACCACGCCCAGCTAATTTTTGTATTTTTAAGTAGAGGCAGGGTTTCACCATGTTGGCCAGGCTGGTCTCAAACTCTTGATCTCAAGCAGTCCACCCTCCTTGGCCTCCCAAAGTCCTGGATTACAGGCATAAGCCACTGCGTCCAGCCAGTTTTTCTAAACAATATGTTGTATATATTTATGAACTCTGAGGAAGTGTTTGACTCTGTAGAAATAGAATCTCTATTCTTCTGTGACTTGCTTTTTCCTCTTACATCCTTAGTGAGATGCATCCTTATTGATATATTTGGCTTTAGTTTATTCTTTTCACACTACAAGGTATTCTGTCATATGGACATACCACAATTTAGCCATTCTGTCAATGGACATTCGGGTCCTTTATTGTTTTCTGCAGATGATGCTGCATGAACCTTCTTCTTCTTTTTTTTTTTTTTTTTTTTTTTTTGAGACAAGAGTCTCGCTCTGTTGCCCAGGCTGGGGTGCAGTGGCATGATCTCTACTCACTGCAAGCTCTGCCTCCTGGGTTCACGCCATTCTCCTGCCTCAGTCTCCCGAGTAGCTGGGACTACAGGTGTCTGCCACCATGCCTGGATAATTTTTTTTTGTATGTTTAGTAGAGATGGGGTTTCATCGTGTTAGCCAGGATGGTCTCGATCTCCTGACCTCGTGATCCGCCCGCCTCGGCCTCCCAAAGTGCTGGGATTACAGGCGTGAGCCACCGCACCCGGCCTGCATGAACATTCTTGTAAATGTCTCCTGGCTCATGTGGAAGAGTTCTCTGGGATCTTGCCTAGGAGTGGAAGAGCTGGGCTGGTGGGCTGGTGGGCTCGTGGTGAACACATTTTCCACTGTACTAAATAATGCCAATTTAGTGTCAAACCAGTCATGTCTAATGTTATACATCCTTGACAACATTCGTATTGATTGGTTTTTCAAATTTGCCAGTCTGATGGGAATAAAATGATATTGTAGCTTTAGTTTGCATTTTCATTTTCATGACTTAATGAAGTTAGGCATTTTATATGCTTTTTAAAATATTAAATGACCATTTGTGTTTTCCATTCTGTGAAATATTAATGTCTTCATTTTTTTGTAGAGATGGGGTCTCATTATGTTGCCCAGGCTGGTCTCAAACTTTTGGCGTCAAGCAATCCTCCCACCTCAGCATCCCAAAGTGCTGGGATTACAAGCGTGAGCCACTTTGCCTAGCCAAATATCTATGTCTTTTGCTCATTTCTCTTTTAGAGTATTTATATATATATTTTAAATACCTTTATATCTTTGGCATATTAATTTAATCTTTCAACAGTTGTGTGTTGGAAATATCTTTTCCCAATTTGTAGTTTGTCTTTTTCTTTATGATGTCTTTTTTTTTTTGAAGACTGAGTCTCGCTCTATTGCCCAGGCTGAAGTGCAGTAGCGTGATCTTAGTTCACTGCAACCTCTGCCTCCCGGGTTCAAGTGATTCTCCTGCCTCAGCCTCCCCAGTAGCTGGGATTACAGGCGTGTGCCACCACACCCAGCTAATTTTTGCATTTTTGTTAGAGGCGGGGTTTCACCATGTTGGCCAGGCTGGTCTCGAACTCCTGACCTCAAGCGATCCGCCCGCCTCGTCCCCTCAAAGTGCTGGAATTACAGGCATGAACCACTGTGCCCGGCCCCATCTTCTTTTTGGATTGCAATTTGTATCTTGTTGTCTTGTTTAAGAAATCCTTCTCTTAACCTGGTATCATTATGCTATTCTTCCTATTTTCTTGTAAAGTTTCTAGCTTTGTATTTAGGACTTAATGTGAAATGGATTTGGACTTAAATGTGAAGTGGTTCTTAATATGTGATGTGAAGTAAGCTTTATTTTTTTTCCCCTTATGAATATGAAATATGCCAGTGTTTGGGATATTTCCCTGTTGATCCGCACAGCCACCTCTCCTTTGGAACATGCCTCAACAGCCCCCGGTTTCAGGGCTCTCTATTCTGTTCGATTGGTCTTTCGTTGTCTTTCCCTAACCTAATACCATTCTGTCTTAATGCCTGCAGCTTTTATAACTTTTGATATGTGATGATGTAAGCCTCCTTCCCTACTTTTTTAAAGAGTCCTTGACTGTACACTTAAGAATCTACTTGTTGGGATTTTTATTGGAATTGCATTTAATCTATAGAATATTCTGGGAGAATTGACATCTTTGCGATATTGACTTTTTCTTTGATAAACATGGAATATCTCTACTTTTGTTTGTGTCTTCTTTAATGTCTTTCAGTATAGTTTTGCGGTTTTATTCATAAAAGTAATTTATCCCTTGGTTCTTTTATTTGTTGTTGTTTGCTATTGAAACAGTATTTTAAATTCTAATTTTAACTCTTTGTTGCTAAGATGTAGAAATCCAACTGACTATATGTTTTCTCTGTATTTTTGCCAAAATACAAAATAATTTCAACTGTGAAAAATATTAGTAGTTTTATTTCTTTCTTTCCAAACCCTATGCTTTTTAATCCTTTTCTCATCTTACAGTGTTACGTCAATTTTTTTGAGGGCTGTTTGTATTAAATGTGTCTATTATGATTTGATCAGTCTGCTTTTTTGAGTACATCCATAATTAATTACTTAGAAAAACTTCCTAAATGTGTAACTGCTGATGAAAGGAACGCAGAGTCTTCAGGTTCTTAATGTATACTGTCAAATTGTGCTTCAGGAAAGTTCTACACGTTAGCAATTTCACCACCACCTTATGAGGGTCCTCTTTCTACATGCCCTTTCCAGTTCCAGGAATTTCTATGCTTTTTAATGTTTGTCATTAGGAATTCTTGGCTGGGCACAGTGGCTCACTCCTGTAATCCCAGCACTTTGGAAGGCTGAAGTGGGTGAATCACTTGAGGTCAGGAGTTTGAGATCAGCCTGGTCACCATGATGAAACCCCGTCTCTACTAAAAATACAAAAATTAGCTGGGCGTGGTGGCACACACCAGTGGTCACAGCTACTTGGGAGGCTGAAGTGGGAGAATCTCTTGAACCCAGGAGGCAGAGGCTGCAGTGAGCTGAGATGGCCCTACTGCACTCCAGCGTGGGCAAAGAGCGAGACTCCGTCTCAAAAAAAAAAAAAGAAAAAAAAAAAAAGAGTAATTCTTTGTCAAATATTTTACA